ACGACTGAGCAAGAGGTCCCGCACAGCAGCGGAAGAGTATTTGAGCGCCCTCATTAAAGGAGTTTTGCCTCGGTAAAATGCATTGATGTTGGAGTTGTGCCGGAGCAAAGCCTCCGCAAGACCAACGTTGTCGTATTTGACGGCCAGGTGCAACAGATTGCTGTTCTGAAATTTGATATTGTATTTCCAGATGCTGGGCTGCAGTCTAAAATCAAGGTCTTTGCATGATTTTGCGAGGGCAAATAATGCACTACCGTCCAAATACGACACAATCCACAGCAAAAGCTCGTTGGGCAGGTCTCTGATGTTTGGCTGTAATGTATTAGCTCATCGGTAAACTCCGTAAATCGAATTGAACAGACCATGATTGGACAGCGGATGGAGCAAACGAAATGTAGATAGGGGTGAGGTAAGAGTTGTGAAAGTAGGATATCGGAGGCCTTTATATACTCACCTCAGCTAAATTCCGTGGTCAGCTAGGAGTGTAGTCTGTCACTTCGCTGAAAGGTGCGTAGCAATCACACGGCAGCATCAAAGCCTTGAAAACTATGTTAAGGCTGAGTTGGAGAATCTGTGGGGTCTAGCTCCTGGGAACGCCAAAACTGTTCCTGGTAGTGTGTCGATGGCCTGGGAACCGAATCTATCTCTACGTATCCACATCTTGCACCTAGCGCCATAAGAACAAATCACAACCTATCACGCACTTCGAAATTCATAGGCAACCCAGAATCTAACGCAGCATTTGTCGACTTCGCTGCCTACCGCAGTAGCCAATCTGTTCGCCAATGTATGGTCCCCGCGATGGATAGTCAAATGTGCAGCTGATTGCAGCAGTGGTCTGGAATGATATCCCTTCATGCAGGCCACTGATCGGCTGTATACGGCGCATACTGCGTGTGAATGCATTCTTCGACGTACCGACTGTTTCAAGGAATTGTTCCATGCCAGCCACGCAGCCATGTAGGTAAGGAGCCCACGGCGATGGCATATAACGCTGGCGAGGGAACGCCGCAGTGATGGCCCTACACCACCACAATCCGAAGCATTTTCTGCCTTTGACGACCACCTCAATAACTACCATGCTACCTTGGAATCCGTTTCTTGTTTGTGAGATAGAGGTCAGCCCCAATGGCGGTCCTGGCTCCTGTTGCGGCATGACGAAAAAAGGCGAGCCGTGCAAAAACTCGATCAAAGTTGAAGACACCAAGATCGGCCATCAAAAGTTGACCACTCTCGCCAGAGAGCCATTTGACTTGTCATCGTTGCAGTCCAAGCTCTGTGATGTCGCCAGAGACTTCCTCTGCGCGAGATGGCACCGGCAACGGCAGGTCGACCAAGCTGGCCAGCAGTGGTATGAAGCCGCCGTCCGCAACCAGGCGCGAGTACCACATGGCTCCAGAATGGCCTCTCCATCAGTCATTGTACATCGGGGCCAGCGTCAGACATCGTCAGCCTCCAGGCGACGCCCTGCATCAGACAACACCCGGTCATCACCACCACCGGTGCGCCTGTCAACCAACCCCGAGCCAGTGCAGCCATTCAATCCATTCGTGACTTCCACAATGCTGCGGACGAACAGCGTTCCATGGCGTGTTTCACCGGCCCGACCAGCCATCCTCTCATCGGCAACTAATATCCGGGCTGGTTTCCAAGAATTGACGCTCCAGAGTCTCGCCTCGAGTGAAGAGGTCGACAGCGTCCACGTCGACAGCATCTACTGTGTGTTCTGCCAGACCGAGGATGAAGACCATGCGGACGAGAGCGTGATCTTGCACTGCGGTCAGTGCACATCGCTCTGCCATCTGTCGTGCGCCGAAGAATGGCTGGAAAAGCGGGATACAGGGTTTGGCACGTCATGCTGTGTGTGGTAAGTGTGAACGACCTTATTTCTGAGACGACCAAGACACTGATGACCGCAGCCGAAACGAAGGAGCCCTAGATGCCATCATTCGCTCCTTACGAATCCCTCGTCGGATGCCGAGACATATTCCGTCCACACGGCAAGCGATCCATCTCCCACTGGTGGGCCCCGTCGCTCAGCCAGACTAGCAGGAACTCATCTACCGCGACAACCTTCCACCGCTGCACCGCTTCGCCGATCGGCACGACTCAATTCCACTCAGCGTAGGTGATCACAGGTTACAGCCGTTATAGCCGTGATATAGAATTTTGAAGCAAATTAGCAAGAAATGAAATACCAATGGTTAAACTCCGAAGTACAACGCGACCGTTTCATCTCGTAAGTGCTGGACACCAATACACCATAGCCAGTAGCTATTGACTGCTTCGCTGATTCCGAAAATGTCTGAGCTCGAAACTGTAGTGGTAGATAAAAGTTCTGTTTTCATGATACCTAACGGCGGTGACCAAAGAAACAGAGAAGGATTCGTCTCAGTGGAGCCGTGTCGCGTGAAGGTGGGGATTGTTGGTAGAAAAGCCATAGGCAAAAGACTGACAAACTCTCGTGCTTGTTAACTTACTCTGGGCACTAATATGTTGGCCCTGGGAACCTCAAAAGCATTTCTAGGAGCTGTTTATCCCCTAGAAAATACTCTTGAGATCCTGGGACTATTTCTATTTCTAGGAAAATGAGATCTAGCCCTGGGATCTTCACTTTACGTTCCTGACTGAATACGAAATTGGCTCTGGGAATACATTGACCAGATCTGGGAGCTGTGGAGCCCCTGGGAGCTTACTTTAGGGTCCTAGAGTCAATAACCTGCCTTCCGAGACCGCGGAAAGCTCTCACAAAACACCTTCACCAACCCTGCTCACAAATTTGCGTCATTGGACCACTCCCAGAAGGCACACCTACGCCTCCAGGAATCAACCAGTTTTCAACAGGAACGCGGCTTTGATTTCCCGAGGTGGGGATACCAGACCCCAGAAGCTACATCGGGTTTCCTGGGGGCTACGTGGCTCCTTGTCAAGGATATAGAAGCATGCCACCTCTATGTATACGTGAGACCCTCACACTCCTAGAGGCTGTTTCTTCGCTCCCAAAAACGCTTCAGTGGGCCCCGGGAGTAAGAGAACTCCTAGGGTTAAGAGATGAATTCCTAGCACTGATGCAACCGTCAACAGGAACGTGACCGGTTTCCTGGTAGTGATGATGGGGAGAGTCTTACAAGCTTCGTACGATGTCCTGGAACTACTGTCTAATTCCTGGACGACTCAATTTACTTGGGTATGATGTTTTTGCAACATTGCGCTTGAGCAATCTTTACACAGAGCAAAACTTTTGGGCAACAGCTACGAAAATGTGGCCGGTGACTTGATAACATACCTCCTAGAATCGACAATAAGGCCAAGAGAATATTTCTTATTGCTTCCTTTTGCCAAGCTCCCGCTACTACGTGCTATATCTTAGATGTTGATGAACGGAAATGGACTGACCGAGAATGACGAAAATGCGGAATATCTTTGGAAGCATGCAGTAGTGCGGCTCTCCTAAACTTACAGTAGGCTCAAACAAATATTTAATGCCATTTAAACCATACGAGGAATTTTATGGATGGGAGATTCCTTTGAATCTACTCCCAGGATCGATAGTACACATACGTGTCCCACCTGGAGTATATGTAACAAACCCACCCCGAAGTAACAAAGTAACAACAGACAACCACACTCAAATTGGCTACATTCACACCATTTGATCGTGATGCATTGCAAAGATTCCTTATTGTGAGCTAGATATGGTTTGTATGTCCCTGTGGAATCGATATGTCTCACTGACAGCAATTAGATTGGAAACGTGCGGAGCACTATTACCTTGCTTTGGAAACACACTGTTATTTGAAAAGGTGAAGAGAAACTTATCGTATTACCAAAGCGATGCTGGTGTCCAAACATCCACACATGTCGTCTAATGCTCTTGATAGCAAGAAGGCACTTTACAAAGATGCTTCTTCCCAGGCCAAAACCTTCCGACACCAGGCCAAGAATGGGCTTTTAACTACGTGAGAGGTGGAGGAGAAAAGGCAAACTGTTTACAGTCTCTACAGTGATTCTCGAAATCGCCTTGACCAATACACACTGAGAAACTCTTTCCTGGCCCCACTGCCAAGACCCTAGCGCCAATCATTAATTGGGCTGGCCACGTGCCACTGTAATATCCTAGTACAGTAATTGTCAACCTCGCACGCATTTTTACGGGGGAGAGATACAATATCTTCACACACTTCATTGCACAGCGGCCCTCAACTTAGTGTGACCCGCCCAATTAATGATCCGCGCTAAGGTGTGTGTGCTGGTCAAGGCGACTTGAGAATGGCTGTAAATGGGTTCTGCCGGAGGTTCACTCCCCCTGATGCTCACTGAGCAGGGTTGAAATGATTCTTGCCTGTATACTTGAGGATCATGAGGTATACCTGTCTATACGTGACTTGGAGCTAACGTATAGCGCCTGAGTTGGGTGGCTCTTGGTGGCTTATCAGTATAGGAAGCAGCTGGCCCCTTAAAACACGGCTGCAGGCTTGTAACGTGGCACTCTGATTAATATAGGGAGAAGCGCTAGTTGCCCTCCTAGCTATATGGCCAGTAATGTATGAAATACAAGCAAAATCTCGTTTTGTTTATTGACACTTGATTAAGCTAATAAGAAACAATATACTGACTAGATTGCCTCGATCATAGATACCTGACTTGCGGGATTCATTAAATTGACTTAGATTGAGTCCGTTAACCGGGCAATCAACTGAGAATGCATTACCGTGTAAACAAATTGCTTGCCTCGTAGTTACAGAAGCTTAGACCTTCATCTCCTCAAGACCATGCTTCCAGTACGTAACAAAAGGGGCATTGTTGAAGCGGTCACTAAGGAGAAGGTTTGGTGGTCTGTACGAGCTGGCGACATCTACTTCCGGTAGCTCTCGTGATGCAATGCGAGATGACGCAGTCAATCAACACTTCCTCCCCTAGCCACACAGCCCACATTGTCGCTGGATCCGTAGTTTTGTTTATAATATGTTGGGTTATTCAAAAAGTGGGATTGTCCCAGAACATGCGGGATTATTCGCAGACACATTCCATGAAGGCTATAATATGCCCTTCTTAATGTGAACAATCGAAAAAGCATAAGCTGCTCTCCATGCAATAATTCTCTTCATTACGACATTGCATATTTTCCACGTTGTAAAAGACATAGGACAATCAAGAATATACAATCCTTCAACCTTCTCTTGCCATATCTGGCAGCCCTGCCAGATTGAGTCTGGAAGGTGGTTCCACTCATCGAGTACGCGAGCCAGTCGACCCCGAGATGATTCCAGTGCCTGCTCGAAAAAAGCGCAGCCGAGACAGCTGCTTGTCGTGGCGCAGCTGAAGTCCGTCCCTCTCTTGAGTCAGGTATGTGCTAGCTTCCTTCAATATCTGATTGCTCTGCTCTAGCTTCTGGCACTCGATGTGTTTGGACACGCACGACTCCCATAGGCGTCGATAGTGTCTGACAAGTCGAGCCGCGGGAAAGGCGGCTTGGGATCATCGCGTTCGAGGTCTGCTAGCACCTTCAGAATAGGTTGAAAGGGCTCAGTCGCCAAGGTATGTCTTGTTTCTGCTTCCTGTGGCGAAAGAGAGAGCTGCGATGGTCAGCAAGAGCATTGGAAGCTGAGCCGCTTTACTTACCTGTGGAGGGACATGATCAGAAGCTTCTTGCGAATTGTCTTTTTCACAAACGATTGGCAATGCACTGGGCTGTTGTTCTCCTTTTTCCTGGTCTGGCGTGCTGTTAGGGGCATCCATTTGATCGTAGGGGAAAGTCGAGTATCTGGGCAATAGCATGTCCATCAATTCTTGGAGGCTTTTATAGACTAGCAGACATAGGTGGCTAGGTACTCAGTCGCATTTTCACCCCGAAAGTCAATCAGCGTAGTCAGCTTTTCAATCTCAGCAGTCTGTTAGCAGTCCGTTTAATGATGGTGCTGGTGATCAATCTCGTGGTGTTGATGGTTGGTGAATGTGCCTCATATTAGTGGCTTTCTGGTGATGAACGGTCCAGGAGATATATATTCAATCACAACGCATTTTCCCCATTCGTTTCAGAGCTCAGAAATCCAAAAGTAAATAGACTAAAATCCAGAGGATTGAAACAGACACTCAAAGAACAACGTATTTCAACACCTGTCATAAGTTCAAAAGTTGACTCCCGTCAACAAGGACGGCCAAGCTTGAACGGGTTGACGGGTTGAGTTGAGTACCCACGCCCACGCGACCGCGGCCTAACGCTTTCCGCAGTCTAGACGGAGAGAACCACACACAGCGCAGACAATCAACACTCGAGCGAGGCCAGAAAATTTCCATGTTCCTTGGATGAAAATGTGAGCGCTCTTGGTAAAATCAAAGAATGAACAGCTTCTATTGCCTCGATATTAAGACCGTAGATTCAACAGTGAGCCAACGTTTCTTAACCGACTCACTTTGACCCATTCACAACACGGCTCTAGCATTTTTTTTCCGCTGGGCATCTAAGATGACACCAGAATTCCGCTGCAAATAGTTGCGGTAGAACGAAGGCATAGGTTGCAACAGACCTCACTTTGGATAGGCATCGTGTCCAACGTTTGCTCCCTAGCAGAGCACATACGCGACAGGAGCCGAGAAGCCTATAAATACGCCCTCTCCCCCCGGCAATTTGTTTCACAATACTGTCACTTATTGCGCAAAGTCGAGCAGGCCTTCGGTGAGGCACCTGATAAGTCTTCCATTTGACCCTACTGGAATACCCACTGTACTGACATCTATGGATAAATCGCGGGCCGACAAGCTAGAAAGGGCTTGTGAGAATGTGATTCCCACCAGATCCACTATGCCACCTATGCCAGCCGATCAAAGAAGCAGATTTGGGTTAGACGGTCGATGTATCTATGCGAACATCTGTCCACCATAGCAGCCGACCACTGTCCCGCCCCCGAATATCGATGCAAAAGAGCGATTTTCATACAGGTGTGTAGATTTCAGCGCGACCCTGTCCGAAACTAGACTGACTTCAGACACGATGCGAAACAAAGACCCATGCATTTCGTCCAATGCACGCGCAAAGCCACAGAACCCTTTTCGGTGTCTTCTTGCAGAACATGTAAGTCATGCATTGTCTCGCCGATCGACAAGCTAACGATAGACAGGAAACCGTTGACAGCGCACCAAAGTTAGTCCGAACCAGCAATCAGTCAGTGCTCCGCGCAGGGTCATGGCTTACACGCCATCTCTGGCCCTGTCACTTCAAACCATGCAACATGTCCTATGTGAAATACTGCAAACCAAGGCCGGGGGCTAACAGCAGGATGCATAAGCTCCAGACGTTCGTTGTCCACGATGAAGTCAGTGGAATATCGCGCCTCTTGCTGCGCTGGGTCTGATGATTTGTGCCTAGTCTGTGTCCTAGACGCGAACACCACTGACATCTCTCTGCCGTTGTAGGAGCAGCCGATCGCCAACCGCGGAAATCTTATGGCGAATAACCTATTCGCGCCGAATCAGATACGACCAAGGGGCAGACGCGCCGTCGCGTCTTCCGCCCTCCTCACCGCCTTCACACCCTCAACAACGGAGTGCCTCTACACGAAGCAGGCTCCCAATAGGACTGTATAATTTCTTGTCACAGGTGGGTTCGTCGCGCGCCTTTCCCATCTTGTGAACTTGCCCGGTACATCCAGCGCGGCTTCTCGAAGCGACATTCGGAGAGTGCGATGAACCTGGATACAGCATGGCATATTTGTGACTGCATTGCAGAACAGAATTGGCAGTGATCTAGTTGGTAAGCAAGTATGATGACGATCCTAATTGACCATCTGTCTCAGCTGTACACTCGGGGAATTCTTCATGATCAACGTAAAGCACGACACCTCGTCCAACTGGATCAACACTTGCTGACTCGGATCTCACAACAGGAGACACCCTCAGATTCTCACACACGAATGCGAAGCGAGCAAATGTCTTGTCTGCTCGACCTCCCCTGCACCAACACCATCGTATACTCTGTTTCTTCCACATGACTACTGGTGGCATCGATGATCGCTACCTCGACTTTCTCCCAGTGGATTTAGTTCATCAGATCATGCGTTGGTATGCCTACCTGATGCAAGACCCAATGGAGCGTATAGCAGTGTCCGTCTCTCGGCATTCGAACACCCTCATAGGATAGCCTGCTTGCGGCTCGGATCCCCGGCGTCCAGTGGGTGACCATCGTTGTCCTTGGATGGTGTCTGCGTCTCTCGAGCCTGGGGAGCCGATGTTTCGTCTTGCTTGAGCCGTACTTTCGCAGACGGCCAGGTTGTTAGTTTAAGTTTGCGTGCAAGGAGAAGGTGAGGCGAAAGTCCCGTCATCTCTAGCCGAATGGACTAACCATAGCCATGTCGGTTTCGAATCGATGGATAAAACCGAGGACGGCCAAACGAAAGAGAGGACCCATGACCCAAGAACCACGTCTGATAGAGTCCCCCTGAATCCTCTTCCTCTCCGCGTTGCTGAGCTTGTCGACATGTACGAACGAGCGGCAACGAATCATTCGGACATACACGGACCTGCATGCTATTAGAAGTGTATACTTTCTCACTATTGGACCAAAGCTTGGTTGATTAGATGCCGAAGCCTGCGCTTTTCTATCCAAGCCCGAGCACAATTTGCAAAGCCCATACACCTTAAGGGTCACTGCAGCTGCAGGTCAGTCAAGCTACCCAGTATCCTTCGTCCATTGAGACTGTCGTCTAACATATCGCAACTGGCGGCGCAAGCAGGTCTTGCCAGAAAATCACCGATTTCTTACGTCTCTGAGCTCACTGTGCTTTGATCATCTATGATGTATTTGTCATCGCGCCCAAGACGATATCTGGCATATCGCTATTGAGCAATTCACCGTGAAGGTGGGCTTGATGTCTGTAACAGCACCACAAGAGCCCTCGGGTTGTAGGACCTCTGAATGCCCCGTACAGTCTACTGAATTATCTACCCCAATAAGCGCTCATGTTATGTTTGCTTGGGGAGGATTTGAGCGGATGCCTGCTAGGGTCACACGTGGATGAGAACACCCCTGTACAAATATCACCAGGTCCTGAGCGGTGGTCGTGGAGAGTGTCTTTACCAGTTCTGATTTCAGATGGCTCGTTGGGCCCCGATCGGAATTCAATCATGCTATATCATCAGCGGAGCATGATTTATCGCATGTAGTGGGGAATATTTAACGACCGTTTCTTCATCGCTGTAGTGGACTTCTACGAGAGATTGTTTGGATTTACTGGCGGGATATTATTCACAGAGATGCGACGGCTCCTACCTGTAGGAGCGAATCAGATATTCCCGAGCCAAAGCTACCAATGACATGTTAACCTCGAGAGAAAGAAACTCTCACTCTCGCAATCGCTCTATAATGTAGGCATTCTAGTGTAGAATAGGTTCGAGTGACTAGCAATAGTCATCTCAAGCAACTTCTTTGGCGACGCAAGGAACTGAGCCTACCGCATAATCATCTTGAATTGAAACCATGATTCGGATTTTCGAGATACATCACATGGCGCTACACTTCGTAGTTCTGATCTTGAGTGTACAGTATATTGCGTGACCATAGTTGAACAAATCTGGAATTAGATCATCTCAATTGAGTTGGAGGCCGTAGTCAAGGCGTGACCGACAGAGATCAAAATTGCTTTGCGGAATCAAAAAAATGCAATTGAAGTTTCTATAATGTGGGTGACATGGCAAGAAACCGCGCTGCCTCCATGAGACGTTGACGACCCCTCCCTTCACCGCCCGACCATTCACTATAACAGTGATATTTGGGTACACACATTTCACCACATCGACATTAACACTGAGCAACAACACATCAACACATCAACACATCAACACATCAACACATCAACACATCAACACATCAACACATCAACACATCAACACATCAACACATCAACACATCAACACATCAACACATCAACACATCAACACATCAACACATCAACACATCAACTCTCACCAACCCTCACCAACTCTCAACTCTCATCACAACGTACATTCTATCAGAACAAGCATCCCCGCGCAACAACTCTGTTTACTCTACACCTGAATGAAAGATGCCATTTTCCATTGCTGCGAAGGGATTATCGGACCGCGGAAAAGGCAGAAAAAGTGGGAATACCGGTCGCTAACGAGGGAAGCCCAGTTTGAATCTTACGACTTGGTGATTGATTTTGGGATGATCTATATTCATTCTATCTATCCAATGGTGGTTCTTCGGATAGGAGACAGACTATAAAATCTGTTGGGCAGGTCTTTGCTTCATCGAATACTCTTGGAATACTCGAATACTGGTCCCCAGCACCACGGAGAGGTGCCTGCACATAGCTGGGGAGCCATAACAAGACCTTGGCGAGCCAAGTCTTGCATGACTGAGCGAATTTTTACAATCACAGGGCTCATTGGCTGCGAGGGAGCACACTTTTACACTCGCGGGGCTCAGGGCAGCGAGGGAGCACATTTTTACAATCACAGGGCTCATTGGCTGTGAGGGAGCACATTTTTACAGTCACAGGGCTCATTGGCTGTGAGGGAGCACATTTTTACATACACAGGGCTCATTGGCTGCGAGGGAGCACACTTTTACACTCGCGGGGCTCAGGGCAGCGAGGGAGCACATTTTTACAATCACAGGGCTCATT